CTTTCCACCACTGGCTCCATCCAAGAGCTTGCAGGTTAACTGCAAGTCCTCCTCACATCCTGCCTTGCCAGCACTGCAGTCCAGGGCCAAGGGATGCTTCTACCATGCCTGAGATGTCTTATCTCGTAAAGCTCTGGACAGAGCACTTCCAAACTGTTGGAGAATGCCAGTGCTGTCCACAGAGCCACCCACAGACCCAGCTTTACCCTGGGCTCTGCCCTTGCTGCACCCCAGCCTCCTGTCCTCACATTTCCCAGCAATTTCCAGCCTGGTTTGATCTAATTTCTACAGCCTCACGTGTGTGTTTGGAACCTTCAGCAACACAAAATGCAGCTCACCCCAGTGAGATGCTCCTTGAGACGCCGCAGGGTGGGAAAGGACAGGGCTGATGGGGAGCACCCCAATGTCAGGGCCCAGGCACCGAGGGTGGGGACCCCTGTCATGGGTTGAGAGACCCCATGTACAAGGGCTCTTGCTACCAACAGATTTGTCCAGGTTTTCTCTTCCTGGCACATGTGTTTGAGGAAAGAATTTGTGGTCCAAGACAAGCAGACAGGGGTAGGACCCCCAAGGAAGCCAAGATGGGACCAGGCTGCATCCATGCAGCTTCTCCAGCCAAGGGGCTGTGGTTCAGCATGTCCCAAGGAAACCAGCTCCTCCCACCATGGCCTTCTCCAAAAAGCCCAACACAACATCACAGAGCAAGGTGAAGGCCCCTGAGTCAACCTCGGAGCAGAAGCCAGCACCAAAGGAGCTACATCCTCCCACAAACATCCCTCCAGCACTGTCCCCTCCAGCATCCTGCCGCCAGCCGCCGCAGGGATGCCGAGGGGCCGGTTCCTGCCGGTCGCCCGTGGCCGGCTGCTTCCCCTCCCTTTGAACTCGTTTCATCTTCCCCAAGCGTGATTGTGAGAGGGAAGTTTGGGCTGGGCTGGGGGACCCCGCTGCGCCCAGCTGGGGGGATGACAGGATAGGGGTCCTGCCTCGGCACCAGGCGGGGAGGAAGGATGCGAGAAGGGAGATGTGAGCTTTTCCACCAGCATGAAGGCAGCAAACCTATTTTAGGTGGTTTCCAGCTATTTAGAGCGGTTTTTTTTGGAGGCTGGGGAGTGTGGTACCCTCTGCTCCAGGCCTGCTCAACCCGAGCCATGCTCTTGCATCCCTCATGGATGAGAAAGGGGGAGGCAGCCTCCACCAGAGCCCAGCAGCCAGGAGGGATCCTACCCAGGGGCTTGGGGCAGAGGGTGAAAGTTTCGTGGGATATTACGGTCCCCCGACCATGCTGGGTGTGCACTGGGTTTATCTCCAAGGGCAGGAGGAAGGAGGTGCCAACTCAGAGCCATGCGAGATCCTTCTCCATCCCACAAGATCTGTCTCCACTTTTTATGAGTGGCCCATGTCCCTCTGTGTTTCTGTGTCCATGGGAAACAGCCATGGGAGTGAGGGGGATATGCGAGACGGGGCTTTGGATGCTGCTTGGGCATCTCCCACTGCCATGCCAAGCCACATTACAAATGTCTCAGGACATCCTTTGCTCCAAACACGCTGTCAGCAAACACCCATCCCGGGACAGCAAAGCTCCCTATCTCAACCCAGAACTCACTGTCCCGTGGGGGGCTTGGCCAGCAGACGGGTCCAAGTGTTTGTTGGAAGAAGGAACAAACCTGAGGGCTGTTCCCTCAGGCTCACAGCCCCCAGGGCCGGGGTGTGCATGGGCAGCTGGGAGCTGGAGCCAGGCTGTGATGGACAGTGTTCCCCCTCCCTGCCAAGCTGTGCTTCCAGTCTCTGCTCCACGTAATTAAACAGAAAGCCTGCAAAGTCCAGTGGTGACTTTGCTTCTCCTTCAGGCAGCTCCTCCCAGCCAACAGTCCTGTTGGCTTCTCCTCTTACTTGGCCCATATGGGACAGGGACATGGAAACCCTCACACACCTGAAACCCTTCCACCTTCATGGAACCTGAAATACAGGTGGTGACTCACTGGGGACCCCCGGAGTGGAGACGGTGTTTGTGGGGTGGTTGGCATGAGGATGGAGCAGGGATGCCTGGACCCTCTCTCTCCTTGCTGCTCCCAGTCCCTGTCAGCTGTCACTAAGAAATGTGTTCCCTTTCCCCATTGTCCCCTCTCCCCGAGCCTCTGCAGAGCCACAGCTGCCTGGGAACAGATAGCAGGGTCAGGGATGTGGGGGATCCCCACCTGTGGCACCTCACAAGACCCCTTGGCCACAGCAGGCCACATGTGGGTCATCCCTCAATACCAGGTTTGGGTCACGCTGGTGAGTATCCCCCCGTGCCAGGCTTATCTGGGGACTTTGGCACAGGAGCAGGCTGTGGCGTGCACACTGTCCCCTCCCTGCCTGATCCTGGCCGTGTGCCAGAGGGGATGTCCCTGCTCCATGTCCTGGCTGCTCTAGGCTGGCCATGGCTCCACATGGCTCCCCACCTGCCTGCAGATCTCTGTGTGATGCCATCACTGCCAGGACTGCTTCTGCTCATGGATCTCCGGGGAATTAGCAGTTCTCCCTGGCATCTCCCATGCACGAGCAGCCACGTGTGGGCACGGGACATCCCCTCCTCAACCTCTGCTTGATCTTGTCCATGAAGACCTGGCCCCAGAGCCCAAATACAAAGGTGATGGGCTTAGGGGGAGCTTTGTTAGAGAGGGAGCTGGGTTCTTCCAGGGCATCTACGATGGACACAGCCCCACGGCGGGTGTCACACCAGGGACCCAAGTCCTGCCGAGGTGTCACAGGCTCCCAGCACCAGTGTCACAGGGAGGAACAACACCACGAAGCTGCGATTCGAGCTGTCAGCACTGTAAAGATGTTTGTAGTATCATTTTTAACATCTAGCAGCAAGTTGGGAGAAACTTGAGGCATTTCAGACTCAGGGAATATTCTTTAGTGACGTTTTCTGTCCTATTTGTGAACTCCAATGTTGTTTTGCTGCTGCTGTGTCTAGGGCACAAAATCACCTAAAATCATCACGATTGTCAACTGCCAGGAATTCACATCAGGGAAAGAAGGAAACATGGAGGGATAAATGAACAGGAGAGCTGGCAAAGCCGAACACTTTTTGTTGAGACTACGAAGCCTTTCAGTATTAAAGTGGGCTACAAAAAGCCAGAGGAAAATCTCAGGATGCTGAGTGGTCGGGCATAAAGTGGAATGATAAAATTCAGAGTTGATAACGCACAAGAAAACCCCACTCGAGCTACACAGGACAAGGGGCTCTAACTTAACATTGCTCCTAGGAAAGAACGTGGGCTCAGGGCAGAAATCTCCCCAAAAAGCCCTATTTGATGCTCAGAGGCAACAAGGGAGGAAAAAAAAATTTTAAAAAAGTGAGTTTTTTAGAAAAATGACAGCCGTGGGCTGGGCAGTGTTGCTATGTATAAAGCCAGAGTCCTCCCACACCTGAACCCATCCCCACTGCGCAGGGGATGCAGAAGGACCAAAAAAACACCGAGAGGAATGACAGGGTGAGAATTGCTCTGGTTACACCAACAGGCTGGAAAATGAGGATTTTTCAGGCTGGGAAAAAAACCCCCCCAAAAAAATCACACTTAGGGAAGAAGTTGGGAACAGCCTGTAAAATCATGAGTGGCGG